TGCAAACCCAAAAAGTAAACAGTTAACTTAAAAACAGATTTCAGCTCTATTCCAGTAACAAATATAGTTATATTTAGTACGTATATCCAAAACAATCCTCACCTAAATATCCTAAACACCAACAGTCATCCACAGTTAGTAAAATTTAGTACTTTTCGAACTTTAGTACAATTCGAACCAAGAACAAGAAAAAAAGCTGTAAGTTCGGCCGGACCGAACTTTTAATACCCTCCACCATACGGTACAAATTTGGCAATTTCCAAAAAAAAAAAAAAAAATAAATAAATAAATAAATAAAATAAAATCCATTAAAAATTCTGTTAAAATCTTAAAATACCGAATGCCTATGCGACGACGTGGACCTGCATAAGCAACTTTTGTCATAAGTTATTACAATATTTAATTGCGAAACTTGAAGAAAAATCTGTTTATAATGTAGCTAAAATCATCAAAATACCGAATATAGGGGGTACCGTCATATGGGGGCTATACGAAGACGTGGACCTGCACAGACAATTTTCTTAGTAGTATACATTACGCACTTCAAATGCCACATTTGAAACAATTCCGTTAAATAATGTCGCTAAAATCATCAAAATACTGAATATAGGGGGTACCGTTATATGGGGGCTATACGAAGACGTAGACCTGCACAGATAATTTTATGTTTTATGCTGAAGTATCTATTACATCAAATACCAAATTTAGAACGATTCCGTTAAATAATGACGCTAAAATCATCAAAATACCGAATATCGGGGGGTACCGTTATATGGGGGCTATATCAAGACGTGAACCTACATGGCTAATTTTTTTGACTTAGGATGTAGTATCCATTACGAACTTCAAATACCAAATTTAGAACGACTCACAAAATTTAAATCAAAATTTAGTACAATTTAGGTCACATAAGTATGAATTTCCAAAAAATACGTACATACATCAATCCTAGAATGCAATGGTGTTTTTAAATCAAAATTTAAGAATTCCAGATTACTTTGTTCACCCAAATCGAAATTGTACCAAATTTAGTACCTTTTTTTTCTAAATTTGTACTTAATTTAATTTTGAAAACTTCCTACATTTCCCAATCCTACACTCTGCCAGTGATGCTAATTTGAATTTTCAGTATTCGTATACATGAGTACACACTTCCAAAACTACTTCCATACATCGACTCTACTCCTCAATCTTGATTCCCATTCCAAATTTAAAGTTCTTATCTGTAACCATTCACACGATCGAAATGGTGCCAAAAATAGTACATTTTAGTACTTTTCGTAAACTTATAGTGAGAATTTCCAAATACCCTTTAGTCATCTATCTTGCACTCCACCAGTGACAGTCATAAGGAGTTCTAGGCTAGGAAATGGTTCCATATTTAGAAACTTTTAATACTTTTCGTATTGTTATAGTAAATATTTTCAAAAACACAGGTTTATCTGACTCATCCGAACCAAGAGGGAAACTCACTTAAAATTTCTAGTTCTAGCTTCTGCCGTTTCGTGTGGGCGTTAATAAATCACTAAGTCAGTCAATTACTTTTATTAAGTGTTCTTAATCTACAAGCATTGTTATGGTAATAACTCTTTTATTTTTTAATGTCTCAATATCATAAAGCAGGACCCTCAGAATTTGCGGTAATATGATACGGAACTAATATACAAATTGTTTCTTTATTGATTATTTTCTTTTTTCAATTTATGGGAAAATAGAACTAAAAAAGCAGCTAAGTTCGAATTTTTATACCCTCCACCAATTGGAAGAGACTTGCAAAGTTTCAAAAAAAAAAAAAAAATTCCGTCGGAAAATACCGCTCAAATGAAAACCCCTTTTATATGGGGGCTATAGGAATATGTGGTCCTGCATAAATTCTGCTAAATTTGAAACAAATCGGGAGGAGCCATTATATGAGAGATTAACGATATCGTGGACCTATATAGAAAATTCTCTTTCAGGGGGAATAGCGCTCATAAAGTACTCCTTGTGTAGAATTTCAGACAATGCCATTGAAAAACAAGTAAGCAAAGGCTATAGTCGTGCGGGGCCGACCATGTGATACCCTACAACACTATAATATGTTAGAAGCCTCCTTATGTCCAAATCCATATTGGAAGAATTCGCTTTTGAAATTAGGATTTTGACTAGGGATAATTGCCCAACATTTATACAGATAAATATAATCCAATGGTCATCCAAAATGCTAGAATTCTTCCCTGTCCTTAACTCTCTTCACAGGCGTGTCGATTGGCTTCAATTGTGTGATAGGAAAAACATTTTTGTTTTTGGTTAATTTGAACCCCTAAATATTTTGCAATCATCTCCAAAAGCAAGAAGCCCCTCCGTATCTCCAAATTTAGACTTATCTATATGATTTGCTTGTCTACGATATTTGGCTATATTCGTCAACGAAATCAGCATAAAAAAGCCTGAAGTTCGCCTTTTGTGTATTTCGGATATCGTCTGTAAGTAAGGCTGGTATTTTTCACACAATATTAGTGGTCCATTGTACCCGCTGTCCTAACTACAACTTTATGCGAGATTTCGTGTCCTTTGGTTTCTATTTGTGACCTTTATAACGGCTGCAAAATCAGGAAAATTTTTAGTCGTTGGTCCATTTTAACCCTTTTGAAAACTATAGGCCTAGGCCTTCTGAGCCTTACCCTGCCCTTGTGAAAATTTTCGTGAGGATTGGACGATATTTGCAATACTTATATAATATCCGCAACCCGTGTTGTAAGGTGAAAAAATATTACAAAATATTATAGGTCAAATTGAAAAAATCGCATGCGATAAAAAAATATGAGAAAATAAAAAAATGTCACAAATTACTACAAAATCTATATTAACATCTCCATTGGCACATATTTCAGCGATTTTTTTAGATTTTATACTTTTATGTCAAGAGAGTATTCTGAATTGACAAATTTTGTCAAAATCGGTCTAGCCATTCTTGAGATATAAGCATTCTAACTAACATCCCCTTCCTTTGTATACACACATTTTATATATTTTGCTGTATATAACCGATATATTTACTATCGGCATCTTCGCAACGGTCAGAATTGACCTGTTCGTCCATTTGTGATTTCGCCGGAATTAAAAATATTCGCGGTTTAATGGAAAATTTCACTTTTATTTAACACAAATGTTTTGGCCTATTTCACCCACTAAATATTACCCGATGACAACCAAAATTGGATGGCTTCAGCCCAGCCCTAAGCTCTAGCCCCGTGCTAACTTTTGATTTGCTTTGATTGGTCTATAATTGCGACCTGTAGAGCAACTGCAAAATCAGGAATTTTTTCAGTTTTTGGTCCATTTCAACCACTAAATATTATGCGATCATCTCCAAAAGAAATAGGGTTCTATTCTGACCCTAGCCCCACCTCCATTCAAAATTTCGTGAAGATCGGGCCATAATTGCGACCTGTGGAGTGATTACAAATTAACATGGACAGACGGACGGACGGACGGACATACATAGCTAGATCGACTCAGCTCGGCGAGATAGGAAGATCCATATATACTTTCCTATGTGGGAAACTAATATTTCGTGGTGTTACATAATTTTTGGCCCAATCACACTTATAATACCCCCAACACATAGTGTTGTAGGGTATAATGAGGCTAAAATCATCAAAATACCGAATATCGGGGGGTACCGTTATATGGGAGCTATACGATATCGTAATATAGTCCATTTTCGAACTTGACCTGCCTGCAGACAAAAGGGAGAAATGTGCAAAATGTTTAGCGTGCTTTCTTAACTCGTTTTAATTGTAGCGTGATTACAACAGACAGAAGGAAGGAGATATCTTAGAATTTTACGCTAATCAAGAATATATATACTTTTTATGGTCTAAAATTATTAATACACCCACAATATTATAAAAAATATTAAAAGGCTTATTATATGGCATAACTAATACTTATTGCTAAGAGTCCACCAAAATACCAAATCGATTGGTTACTCCGTGATAAGAAAATGTGGATCTGCGACATACTTTCAATATCTAACCCTAAGAAAACACTCTTGAAACTGTTTCACGTTGTTGTCAGTTGCTCAAATATCTATCAGTATGTCATGTATTTGAAGCGTTGCTTTAAATTTTTCGAATATACAATTTCCCCTATATTCGTTTTTAAATAAATATTGAAATGAACTGGAATCTTACATTTAGATTTCCGAACAAAAGTTTCCCAGATTTCCCAGTACTTGAAAAAAAAACTAATCGCAAAACAAACAATCTTAAACATAATCAATGTTAACGCTTAATCGCCGATTATAGAACTATTTAGCACATGGAAGCGGACGCTGGGTTGGTTAAATGAAATCAGCCCGGAGATCTTGGTTGCCTATTTGTCCATCATTTAAGTGCTTTTGATAAAAGTTGCAATACCAAAATTCCAGTCTGTCGGCTGTTTGGTTATTAAAGACCAGCTCTTGGTGTTTTTCTTCTCATGTTACTGGAGTTTAATTATTGGAGTTCTTACCATTCACCTATAGCACCACAACATAACAGCAAAAAATCGCCCAGATGCTGATGTCCACGATGATGATGCAAGAAAGTAGTTTTCAGACAAGTAAAATAGATGGTGCAACATGATTAGTAGTGGCCTGTCTTACATAGCATGTGGTACAGGTTTTAATTTGTTCTCCTATCAAAACAACGTCATACGCTTAGCTGGTGGTTTTTTATGTTATCTTGAATTGATAGAAAAAAAGCAAAAACAAAGCAGAATGTAGCAGGATCATGAAATCAGAACGTCCTTGAAAGTCGTATATTTTTTTGAAGGTTGACGTATTTTGATATTGAAAAATAATTAATTATATATTGCAAGCAAAGTAGAAGGACTGCAGATCGGAAGAGGAACTGTGATAAACTTAAGGTATTTTATTTGCTATACTCTGAAAAATCATTTCAAAATATAAGCGTTTCCCACTTCTGTTCAAATCACTGCAGTCTTCTATAGCTATGCCTCATAAAATCGGTCACAAGATATACAACTGGAAATCGTTTCCCCTGTTCTATTACCATGTATTATTTAAAGTTTCTGAATTTATTTTTATTATCGTAATTCAATTGTAAATTCCTTGGTACATTTAATGGCCACCAGCTCCACCACCCATTCCTGCACCCATACCCACATTCATTCCTACTCCAGCACTGCCTTGACCACCGGGTGTTCCATCAGTACCTGCTCCTGTTCCAGCACCTGCGCCAAAGCCAACACCCATTTGAGCACCGGCACCGGCACCGGCTCCAGCTTGACCTCCAGGTCCTTGAGCAGTTGCCATTTGAGATAACTGCAGAAAATTTGGTAAGACATATACAAATATTATAAGACTTTTGATGGACCATTTTCAAAATCTACACATACCAGCAATACAACAAAAATGGATATTTTAAGAAGCAGAGTTAGAGACTTCATAATTCCAAATAAAGTTGAAAATTCAGCACGTATAATTTCAAAATCCGAATTACTACTGACATCAATTTGTTAAATTTGTATTTATTTATAGTCAGGCGAATGTGTTGTTCAGTGGAAATTTAATTTTTAATCAAAGGAAGCATTTTCCATTTTGACACGAACTTAAAAATGCCCCAATATGCAATTATTTATATGTCAATTTAGATGGGAAATTCCACCATACAATCTGATCTAAATTTTGAAACAAAGCAGGGTGTTTATGTCAGTATCTAGAAATGCCTATAGAATAGAAACCTATTGTTGGGGGAGAATATCGCAAAATATGGAAAAGATTTTGTAGTTACTTTTGAAGAAATAATTATGACAAATCGACTCAGTATTTTGTATGGGATTAATTTTGATGGTCATCGAATAAAAAAAAACATCATTGATTTTACAAAAATTGATGTTGATATCCAAGCTACCACATATACGGGGTGATTTAAAAAAACTGCAACAACGTCAAAAGCCATAATTTTTAGATTTTTCTTTTAATTTTATTGAATGAAAGCAAACAATGCCAGAAATAACATCAAATTTTAGAATTGTTCGAATTGGTCACCAATGGCACGAATCATGGTCTTCAAACGGCCACCGAAACCGTCACACGCTGCCCAAATTTTGCTCTGCGATATTTTGGCCCATTCCCGGCGAAGCTTGCTTGTAATTGACACTTTGGTATTTTTAAGTCCCACAAAATACTCCAGAAACAATAGTCTAACGGATTGGTATCCAGAGATATTGGTAGTCATTGTGCGCTGGAAATGAAGCGAGGAACCTAATTTTGTAACCATTCTTGGGTGGTGTGTTCTGAGTGCGATGGTGGAATGTCCAAGGTCTGCGGCCAAAATGTTTGCGTACACGAGGCTTTAATACACCCTCTAGAATATTTTCGCTATAATATTCGGCATATATTCTGATTATTAATACGACCGGATAACGACCATCGGCTGTTATGGTGGCCCACACCATCACCATGGCCGGTGCTGAGTTCTGGTGACCAACCGAAGGTGCACATTTTCACCTGACCTCTTAGGCAAGTAAACACGATCATTTTGTTTAGTTACAAACTGCTGCACAATGAATGTTTTCTCATCGGAGGTTTCGGAAAGTTGGAGAAAAATCGGATTATCATTTGTCTTTCTGTGAAGAAAATATTTTTTTTAAAATTTCGACCTTTTGTTGGGAAGGTACCAGAAGGAGTGGACCGATATATTTTATCTTCATACCAGACCTTGGATTAATAAAAATATTGGTATGTGTGAAATTTGGAGACAATTGGACTCTTACATCGCATTTTATAAGAGTTATAATTATCCAAAAGGAGTGAACCGATATTTTTCCTTTTCGCACCGAACCTAACACTGAAGTAAATAATAGGAGTTGCAAAGTTTTAGCAAAATCTAACACTGATGTAAATAATAGAATTTGCAAAGTTTTAGCAAAATCGGATCATCCTTTCTCTTTCTGTGCAGAATATAATTTGTTTTTGAAAATTTCGACCCTTTGTGGGGGAGGTACCAGAAGGAGTGGACCGATATTGTCCATTTTCGTACCTGACCTAGCACTGATGCAAATATTAGGTTTCGCAAAGTTGCAGAAAAATCGGATTATCGTTGGTCTTTCTGTGCAGAAAATATATTTATTTATTTTTTTTTTTTTGAAAATTTCGACTTTTTGTTGGGGAGGTACCAGAATCAGTGGACCGATATATTTCATCTTTATACCAGACCTTGGGTTAATAAAAATATTGGTATGTGTGAAATCGGACTCTTACATTACATTTTATAAGAGCTATAATTATTCAAAATTTTCACCCTTTGTGGAGGAGGTACCAAAAGGAGTGAACCGATATTGTTCATTTTTCGCACCGAACCTAGCACTGATGCAAAAAATAGAATTTGCAAAATTGGAGCAAAATCGGATTATCTATTCTCTTTTTGTGCAATACAGTGGTTTCTATTTACCTGCATCAACATTAGCTGCGCATTGGCCTTTGCTGACCAAAAAACCTTTTTTATGCCATTTTTTTCTGAATCCCTTTATTTGAATTGTATTTAAGTGCCCAATCGATAGCTGCACATTGGACATCCCTGCCTCGAAAATTTGGTAATTTTTTTTAATTTGGTTACAAAAGTTGTATTTATCTGCACAAGAAAATAGATTTCTACAAATCAATTTCATGCCTTGACGCCTTGTATTTTATAAAAAGAGCTTGGTGGTTGGTACAGCCTTCGAGCATTTCAAACTGTTTTAAGAAGGAAATTACTTCATTTTGTTTTTATTTAAATATTTCAGCAATGATAATAATAAAAATACTTGCTTTAGGCTGGGTTTTTGCTCAATGACAACATCGATTCAGATGAAGTTATATTTGAAGATTTGGATATCATAACAACGGTCGCAGATAGTGCAGCATACATTCATTGCGATGATGACGTTGCATGTTACGGGGATTTATCTGAAGCTGAAATAGTTCAGGCAATTACTTACAATGCTTCAAATGCAGAAAACAAAGAGTTAGAAGATGAGGAGGATATTGATCCAAAAGAGCCACCAACACTTTCCGAAGCATTATCAGCCCTAAATATATTGCAAAAATACTGTTTTTATAAAAATATTGAAGTATCTTTTGACCAGGCAGAGACGGAAATAATAAAAGGTTCTGCAAAAATTGCAAAACAAAAAAGCATAACTGATTTTTTTCATAGTATGGATACTTCATAAAAGATTGCAATACCATTTTTATAAATTGAATACATATGTATAATCAAATTTCAGTTCCTTATTTGTCTTTAGTCCCTAAAATGAATGTACAAATATTATTTTTTAATTAATGAATTGTTATGTTTTGTTACTTTATGAATTATTTATTTTATGTTAAATCGATGTGTTTAATATAATTAAACCACTTAATAAATGTATTATAAACTTTAAAAGATTCCTCATTGATTTTGGCTGGCTATTACACATACGTAAGTAAAATAAAGATTGCTGCTTTGTTGTGCACGAATAGAAAATTAAAGATACCTGCACTTTTTGTGCACGTAAGTAAAATTAAAGATACCTGCTTCATTGTGCAGATAAATGCAATGAAGCTACCTGCATTTTGGGCATTGCTGCACAAGATGTTGTGCAATTTTTGATTATGCAGGTAAGCAAAAAATACTGTATAATATTTTCTGTGAAATTTTCGACATTTTGTGGGGGAGGTTCCAGAAGGAGTGGACTGATATTGCCCATCTCCGAACTCGATCTAAGTTTGACAAAAATATTACGATATACCAAGTTTGGACCAAACCCTTCGAGAGTTATCGTGAGCACCAGACAGACGGACAGACGGACATCGCTAGATCGGACGGACATCGCTATGTTCCCCTCTGTTGAATGTTCCTTTCTCATGAATGTTCGAAATCTGGGAATCAAGATATGTTTTCGTCTAATTTTAACCACATTGTAAACATTTTTATAGCAAAGTATTTAGTAGAAGAAATTACATCTCAGCTCTGCAGTGCAAAGATATAAGGTATAAAATAGTCGACCCTATCCGGCTTTGTTTTTTGTCTTTCGTGTAACAAAAAAACTAGCACGACTTACTATAAGTGAAAATTTTGTAATATAAAAATATGTAATTTGTCTGATTTAATCTTCGTTTTTATTTTACTTTAATGTAACGTAAATATTATTATTTAAATCAATTTTCATTTTTAATTGTGCCAGTAATGTATAGCAGTCGAAAGTTGAATGACAGATGTAAAAAATCAATTTAGCAGTTAATAATTAAAATTATCTGATAATAAATTTTCCATGCAAAATAGTAAATAAAAGCAAAAACTCAAAATTCCAGCGACATTGGCTTCAACATTTATTTTGAACCGTCTGATTATCCGATTTGATCTAAAATTGATACATACTGAAATTTATACCGAACTAAGATTGAAACCGAAGAGGAACAATATCGATTCCCTTTTAATGATATTGTAGTCCCAATTTGGCACATTGTAATTTTGAGATTAGGTTTAGGTCAGGTGTGAAAATGGAAAAAAAAATGTTCCAGAGTCTATTCATCCCGTTCAACGAGACAAACGTTTAATAATTTATTCCAACTTTGCATAACACAATTTATTTGGGAATATTAGATCATGTGTGAGATACTTTCCCGAAATTCCAACATTTTCCAAAAATGTAAGATACAAATATCTTATGTAAAATAAAAACAAGTTAAAAAGTATCAGTCGGTATTGCCGCCAGATATATACCCTCAGCCTATGTTCGATTATTAAAATATATTTTGACTAGTGTTAAGGTTATTCAAACGTTTGACCCTCTATGCAGCAGATCCCGAAGAAATGGGCCAATTTTGCCCATTTCCTATCGGACCCAAAAATATGATATAAATATTTCGACAGATGTGCCAAGTCTAAATGGAATCGGATGTTAATTTGGCGTTTTATGAGCTTCATGGGTATCCAAAATTTCAATATTTAATGGGGGAGGTACCAGAAGGAGTGGACCGATGTATTCCCCTTTCACACCAGACCATGGGTTAATACAAATATTAGGATGTGTGAAATTTGAAGACAATCGGACTCTTACATCACATTTTATGAGAGTTGTAATTATTCAAAATTCTGACCATTTGTGGGGGAGGTACTTGATGGAGTGGACCGATATTGTCCATTTCCACACCTGACCTAGCACTGAGGCAAATATTAGGATTTGCAAAGTTGGAGAAAATTCGGATTATCCTTTCTCTTTCTGTGCAAAAAATATATTTTTTGAAAATTTCGACCTTTTGTGGGGGAGGTACCAGAAGGAGTGGACCGATATTGCACATCTCCGAACTCGATCTAAGTTTGACAAAAATATTACGATGTAACTAATTCGGACTAAATCGGATACTCCCTTTGAGAGTTATCGTGCGCACCAGCCAGACAGACAGACGGACGGACATCGCTAGATCGACTCGAAATGTTCTGAAACTAATTTGGTTCAAAGAGACCTAGGGTCTAAAACCGTTATTTTGACTAGGCACGTTTTGGCCGTATCAAATGATATATACCCTCTG